GCACATTAATAGAGCAGTGACCAAAAGAAAAGAGTAAAATTTAGGTCCTGCTTTGACATCTTAAAACCTTATGTGACAGCTGCAGGGGGAGTTTGGTATCTCCAGAACTGGAATGTTCTCCAAGTAACTATCCAAGAAATCTGTTGATAGAAGGCTCAGCATATACCTCACCCATCATATTCAAATTTTTTAAATGCACTGTGTTTCATAAGATGTACATGACTATAGCAATTCAAAACAGTTTTTAGGAAGTAGAAAATATAATAAGACTATTACAATATGGCTTGAGATAGCACATAATTATATTGGTCAATGAATATTTGTAGGACCTGGAAAATAAGCTACCCTTAATTACCAGTAATCAGATCCTAGACGTATTTGTTTAATTTTTTAATGTACTTATCTAAGTTCTGGGCACAATGAAGTGAGCAAGACAGACAAAAATCCAAATCCCTGTGAAGCTTTCATTCTGTTGAGTCAAACAAACAAGAACACAAAATAATGCAATCTCAGATATCAATAAATCCATGAAGAAAATTAAGTAAGCTAATGGAATGGAGGACAAGAAGGCTTCTTTGAGGAGTAAACATTTGAGCAGAGATTTGACTCACGAACCATGTGAAGTTCTGAGGCAGTGATCCAGTTTTGGTAAATAGCATTCTATTGAGGCAAACAAACAGAGTGTTTTAGTCTGTGCTAGTCCAGACACAGAAAAGGGCTTCATCTGTTGGAGAAACAGCAAGCACCTAGCTGTATCTGAAGTGAAAAGATGAAGAGAAAATACAGTAGAAGACAAGATCAGAGATATGCGAGGCAGGGGCCAGATCCTGATATGTTATGATTCAAGAGTCTGGATTTTATTCAGGGATAGTGAGAATATATTAAAGAATTTTCTAATCATAGGGCTAATTTATGCTTTAGAAAGACCACTGTAGTACAGTGAGAACTGAGTGAAGTGTAAGTGGAGGTATTATGAGTATGAGAGACTCATTACGAAGCTATTGCTGTCATGAAGAGAGATGATGAAGATGTGCTAGTGCTGAACCCGTGAAGCTGGGGAGAAAGGGTGGGATGGGGCTTTGAAAGCACGGTAGACCTGAATTACTGACAGGGTGGATGCAAAGTCTGAGAAGAACACAGGAATCCTAAATTTTGGCCTGAGCAAAACCTAGCAAACTGATACAGGCAGCGGCTAGCTCACTGAAGTCCTCACTCACCGTGGTGAAGGTTTTGCTTTTATCTGAAAAGCAGCAGGCAGCAGTGGAGTAGAAAAAGGAAGGAGGATTCCAGACATATTTTGATTTAACATGCCAGGCTCAGCAAGCACACTCCAGACCCTTCACCAGTGCCTCTAGCTGGAGCCACAGCTGATTCCTTCTGGAAAGTCTGGGAGCCTGCCCATCAATCACAGACTAGGATTCCTCCAAAGTGCAGTGAATCCAGATTACAGCTGATTGCTGAGACACCTTTGTGTAAATTTATCTTTCTTCCCTACTCCCCTACATCTAAATCTACAAAGAAACTGCTGGGGCCAGTTGTCTTGGCAACCCTGTGACCATCTAAACTCACCCTCTTTCCACCCCATCATTCTTGTTCTGCCAATGATAAACACTCCTTTGATCATCTGCCCTTTCCCAAATTCTCAGCCTCAACCTGCTGTTACCTCTTCTCCTTACCCAACTTCCTGCGGTGCCTCACAGAATCCCCTTTTCATGATCACACCCCTACATCCTCACTCTCTTCAATGAACAATCCCTGTGTCAGCTGCCTGTAACTTACCTGCAGCACTCCCAAAATAACAGCCCATGCAGTGCAGTCCTTCAGAGGGGGAGCTCCTCATTCTCTAAATGCTCACATACTTCAATCAGGAATGGAGAAATATAACAAGTTTGTGGATGCTTAACACTGAATATAAGTACAATTTCAGTGGAACTGATAAAATGATTCTAAATTCACAAGGAAGAAGAAAGAATGAAAACACACCTGCCCAAATGATAAACACTGGAGGATTCGCCCCCCAAAAAGAAGGATACTATGAAGTCATTATAAATTCATGTTGCAGAAGAAAACTTAATGCCCTCTGGGAATAGTCATGTAACTAAAAAAAAAAAAATTATACAGTAATATGTAAACACAGAGGGCTGATCTGATTAAAGAGAAAGAAGAATGTGGGATGTATGTGCTTAGAAAAAATGGTTATAATGAAGTATACCAAAATGTTCTCTCCAGGTGGGAAAATTATGATTTTTTTTCATACTTTTCCAACTTTGCTTTATTTCCACAGTGAATACATTTTTTATGAGTAAGAAAAAAGGCCAAAATAAATATATTTTTAAAAATCCATAATCATAACATACCCAAACTGCTCAATAAAATTTATATAACCTATTTTAGACTTTACTTATTCCCAAAAAAACAAACAAAATCACCTCCAAGTTATCCTCAAATGACCACCCAGAACTTTAGAGTTGTTAACAAATAACAAAACAAAAAAATGCTCAAGATTGCTTCTTAGCATATCATTGACCTATACAACAATTCAGCAGAGTTTGATGAGTCCCTACAATTAATTATTCTCTTAAAAATACCCTAAATAAACTATTAAAAGCAAATAGCTATATGCTAGGGTCCCTTAACTCTAAAACTAAGAGTATGTTGTTATTTTATATAGCTTTGTAAAAATCCATGTACTCTTTATGCAGAAGAGGGTATTAGTCATTTACATATTCAAAAATATTCTGTAAAGAGAGATTTTCATTTTGTTAATTTCCTTTAAGGAATATAAATATATATATACCTGTATACAGTTTTGGCTATTACACCACATTAGTAATGTAAAAGAGATAAGAAAGTCATCTTTAGCTACTAAATTCCCAAAGAAGGTAAAAAAAATTAAGAACAGAAACTTCAGTCTTAAGTAAGTAATGGTACTCCAAATGCATCTGGCATAAAAATAAAGAATGTCTATCACCCAGAATAATCTCTTAATAGTTCTAAATTAAGGTATTCCTTTCAAAAGATTCTCTTTTTATCTATGCATAATCCTTTTAATTTAGCTTTGGAAATAATACTTCAGCTATAATCCCACTGGGAAGAATTGCTTAAAAGAGAACACCTTGGAATACATTTCATTTAAGTGTTAATTCACTGCATTATATAACATGAATGTGTCAATATTACTAGCTTATATTTTTCACAGAATATACTACTATTACTAGGATGTTTCTCTTTTAAATCGTCTCTGAAAAGTTGTATGTCATTTCCAAAAAAGTAAATACGCTTGAAAAGAACTATTAATTAATTAAGTATTCTAACCAAAAAAATTAGTATCTTCCTATCTAAGCAAAGTACAACGCTAGATGCTTTTCAAATCAAGTTTTGACAGGTACGATATCTGTCCTCCAGGAATCTAGTCTCCATGAGCTATTATGCCAAAGCTTTTTCCCAAAAAACAACAGTCAACACAATGTCCCCTGATATTCATTTCATATTAGGAGAAAGCTTCTTGTTGCTACTTATATTTAAAGTTTGTCTTTTAAAAAACTCAAAGTGGATGTAAAGGCAGTGTTGCATTAAATGAACCTAGCAAATGGACAAGGAGTGTTGGAGGGCTGAAGAGAAGGAAAGGTCGGAGTGAGGACACTTGGCTACAGAGACAGTTTCGGTCAGCACTTACACTCTCCCTGTAGTCCTAGGAATGCTGTTTCTCTTCTGCCCAGAAGCCACTGCAAGGCCGGTGCTGCCAGCACTTTGTAAAAGAGGAGACTGAACGGCTGCAGAGACCTGAGACTACAGATTTTAATTTCAAAATTTTTAATTTCATAATTACATTCCAATTTCTCCTTATCTACACTAGTTCAAAATAGTTCATTCCTCTAGTGTGTGTTATCTGGATTCAGCAACCAAATCACTTACCCTTGTACTAATTGAGAAAAATCATATCACTCTGATTTAGCAGAGACTGTATTAATTTTAACATGGTGGGAAGTTATCTAAGCAGAGAAATTCAGCAAAATTTCATATATTTTCAAAGCTTTCTGATGTAAACATCTTCCATTCACCTCAGAATCTTTAAAATGCACAGCATGTACTCTACACTTAAAAGTGAACGAAAGATTTAAAAGGAAAGTAAAAGTCATTTACTTTCACACACCTAAAACAATACTATTAGCACTGCAGTGACAGGAGGCTGCAAATTACAAAGGTCAGTTTAGTAAAAGAAGGCAAAGGCTGCAGAACTCAGATGCTGAGAAGAAAAACCAAAATAGATCCAATGCAGCATTTTGAGAATGAAGATCAATGAAAACAGTTGCTCAGTATCATACCACTTACAGTATGATTTTCTATATTGTTATGAGCTATCCTTCTATTCTGGCCTTTCCTCTTGGCCGGTTCTCAACATTCGCCTTAATAAAAACCAACAGTCAAGCCAAAAATTGCCATTATCTAAAGTAAAAAGATTAATACATTGCCTCAGTTAAAAGTATCAGTAAGATAAAAGTATCACCATCTTGATAGAAGTGAGAAGATATGGTAAAAATAAAAACCTGGTGGCAGGAAGGAGCAGCATCATATTTTTTATGTAACTGTTGATCTAAGTAATAAGGCAGCAGGTTGCCTTCCTTATCAGCATGACTCCTATAAAGTAACACAAACGCCCTTGCTTGCTCTACAGTGAAGGTCTCCGAAAGAATCAACTGAGAGGATGAGGTGCAGGAGACTCACGGTCTAACCCATAAAACATGACTAAAATACGAGTGAACTATGTAGGTTATCATTCAGTGCTGCAATTCTCAGAAACTCTAAGTAAAATAAACACTCTTTTTGCTTCTGCTTATGACTACACAGCAATTAACGAGTTAATACATCAACTTAATAATAAAACAGAGATAATGGCATATATATTTGCTGAGATTAATCAGTAGAAAAAAAGATAAAATTAGTGCATAAAGATTTTATCAAATTAAGCTAGTGGTTCCATGGGCTGTCTGTTTCCTTACCTGTAAGGACGGCTTTTGCTGAAGAATCGGCCAGGTCCAGGGCTGACTTGCCGTCCGTGTTCCGAATGTTTGGATCGGCTCCGTGCTGCAGCAGCACTGTGCAGGGAAAGCAGAGACAGTATCTTACCTCAGGGATACAAAGATTATTTACTGCTAAGTGTCGCCTCGGCATGGTGTAGGCATAAACATACATTGCACAGTTTTTTCTCTTTCAAGAAAAAACAAAGAAAAAGAAACAAAAAGAAAGGGGGAAAAGGCACTGCAGCAAAGGAGCCTCTCTAGAGTAAAGCAAAGTTGGCAACTTAGGGTACAGTCTTATCACATGACTTAACATCGCAAACACAAAACGAGAAAAATCTTGCAATGGCAGTTTTGGTTTGCCTCCTTCGAGCAGCAGGATGGGAGGCTGCGTGCCCACTGCCTTCCTGTGAAGCGCGCTGTGACCCGCCTCCCTGTCTTTACTACCACTGTGGCTGCTTGTTGCTGGTGCTCCCTTACAGCCCAATTTCCTAACGCTTCCTCTCAGAATAGCTGTAATACTGTGCAAGCCTTTTAGGGGCTCACTGCTACATCTGATACTCGCCATACATACTGGCCTGCTTCCAAGAACTTTAACAGAGAGATGCATGCAGCTCTGGTCCCCTGCACTCAAGCTGCAAAACAGAATAACGTCTTTCCATAAAAAATTCTTAGAAACAGAAATTCAATCACTATAATATATGCTGAGGAATGGATGTTGCACATGCTACATTGGGTAGAAAGTAGTTACAGACAATCTCAGACATAGAGACTTCCCAAAGAGAGAAGAACTTGTTAAGGAAAATCCATATGTAATCATTTATTAATCCAAAACATTTCTCAACTAAATGAGTGTGTATGTGGGGGTAGGGGCGGGGAGGGGAGGGTGACTACTGATGAAATACTACTCAGCCAATGGTAAAACTAATTAATACATTAATAACTAGTCCAAATAAGCAAGATTCAATTACTCTGATTGAAAGTTATTCTAACAGTTCAGAGAGTTAAGATTTTGTGTACTCCTAGAGAGAACGGGAGTTATTACCGTTTACCACGATACCGTAACATAAGTAGTAGATTCAAATAAGTGTTCAAAGATATGTTATATAATGTCCAAAAACACCTGAGCCACTACTGTTGATGAGTCCAAAATTTCCATTAACTAACAGTTTCACGCTGAAGTACATAATGTTCTTTGGGAATATTTGGAAGGCAATCCTCAGATATTACTAGGTAGTAAGTCCTGCTGTTTATAAAGCTCTTCCTTTAAGCATAGATGGCATAAGCCATCTAGCCAGTGGCTCTGCTATGATGTACAAGGCAAAAGGCTTATCTAAGAACTAGGACACAGCTGCTGGGACAATATGCACTGGCATCCCTTACATTAAATCTTTGGTACTTTCAGACTTTGGATAATAAAAACTAGCGATGGCTTGAGAAGATAAAGTGAGACTTTGCCAAGACTTTCTAAATTGTCATTCTTAAATGTAAGCAATGAACATAATTATTTTTTTCCAGATATTCATAAACTGACTCAAGAGTAAGTAGAATAAAAGAGCCAGTATAATACATAACTATACCTACTCTTTCATCATAATGAATAAGCTTTTCACAGCAATATTTTTTTTTATTCTAGGAAGAAACCCCAATATGAAGATCGGCTTGTGAAGGGTTTTTATCATGAAGCCAAATGTAATAAAATGTTATCATGTATCAAATGTGAAGCTGACAGCTATCACTATATTTAGTTGGTGACTGATCACATACAAAGGATAGAAAAACAAAGAAATAACAGCTACCATGAAATGCAGATTTTTTTATTGTATACTTCAAGAACTTCAGAACCTGCCTTAAAAGGCAATATATTAATTTAACAAGCCTTGACAATATCACAGGAGCTTTTATGCTCCAGCTTACTGAGTAATAGATGCAAAACAACTGAAAGCCTTATTGTTCCTCCAAAAGTCACCTGAAATTTCAAGCCTTTTTGTTGTAGCCAGTATTTTATCTATCATGTCTTTGCAACTTTGCGACAGAAATCTGCCATTACAGTTCAGCTTCAGTTTTGCTTCAGTTTAGATTACTTTTAAAGGAGTAATCTTTTTACTAGGAATATCTGTTCTCTGGATACTTCTGAGTCATATGTACCTCTTTCACTGAACCAGAACACACAGAAACATCACTGTAGGAGTACGATAGCAATAGGGAAGCAGCAGCTGCATTTTCTGAACCAGATGCTGGTAACAAAATCCACATTAGAAAATATTCAACCATTTTTAATTTACCAGATATGAGTTTAAAAAAAAAACTCAGTAGAGTTAAGAGTTTTAAGAGCAATAAAGGTATTTATAACTAGACCAAAAGGGATCCAAACTTGTCTAACTTTTACAAAAGGGCAGTGCTGGGAGGATTAAATGAGAACAAAAAGTGGCATACAAAAGTACTAAGCACAGAGCCTGGTAATACACATCAGCTAACATGATAAAGCATATCTTACAATGTAGATCGTTTGTACTCTCAGCTCTACAACTAACTACTACTTTAATGCTTTGTCTTAGAGCCAAATCTTCACATCTTTTTCTGGAAAGAACCAGATAGCAAATATATTAGGCCTTATAGTCCATATGGTTTCTGTCTCAACTACGCATCCCTGCCTCAACCCCACCATTACAGAGGAAGAACAGCCACAAATAATACTTAAAAGAATGTGTGTGGCTGCATTCCAATAAAATTTTATTTAAGGACCTTGAAATTTGAATTCATGTGTCACAAATTATTATTCCTGTGATTTATTTTTAATCATTTAAAAATGTAGAAACAATTCTTAGCTTACAGGACTTACAAAAAACAAGGGGGGCGGGGCTGGATTTGGCCCGTGAGTCATATTTTGCCAACCCCAACATTGGGCAGTGATACACAAAGTATTGTCCATGGACTCTTCTAGCCCAAGAACTCTTTGTAATCCATCTAGCATTGATAAGCACAGAAATAATGAGGAAACACTTAAAACTGTGTATGTCATTTTAAGATTATTTTTCCCAGTACTTCATTTTTATTACAGTTTATAAAATTATTGGCCTGGCATGCACTGGGGAGGAAAAAACTGGTCTTCTACCATAGTTTGAGAAGCACTGGGCCAAGGCCCAAATAAAATTGTCTGGGCCTCAGTTCCCAGGTCTGTAACATGGGGAGTGGGACTAGACAGACGATTTCGATATATTTAGGGTAGTCCTCAAATCTCTGATAATGCTTTTAAAATCAAAGACCTGAAGCATTAACATCTTTTAAAAAAAGAGTTGTTTCAAGTAGAACCTTTTCTTTCCCCACCCTCCAAACCAAAATGGGAAAAGAAAAAAAATTTTTCATCTATCCCAATATTTTATATAAGAAAAACAAAACTAGAGGTTGAGACAATAATCAATGAGTTGTAGGGTACATACTGTAACATCACAAATCTCCCCAAACCTTCCTCAAGTTGAACTTGTTTCCCACTATTCTCCATGGAGAGCTGTGTGGAACTATTTTCTAATACCAGAAAAAAAGCAAATACATGAGGCAAAGGTAACAACAGCTTTTAGCAATGTCAGTCTGTATGTGAAGTGGTGACATGTAGGCCTTTCCTGATGCTTTAAAATTTGCCTTCAAAGTTCTGAGCTACCAAAGGAAATAATAAAATGTGACTACTAATATGTAATACAATTAGAAATTCATCTTGTAACATCAACATTCACTGACAGCACACTGACATAAAACAGATCCTTTTTTAAAATTAGCACAATGTCTGAAGCAAAGTAAGGTTTAAAAGAAAAACAAGAAAACAAAACATGAAACATTCAATACATAATCCAAGAGCTATTACGGCCATTCACTCTCCTTGTACTATCTTTAACCAATTAAGGCATTAGCAAACCTCAAAGCCCAAATGACTTCTTGGCTGTATCCAACCATTCAACTGATGCATCTCAAATTCATCTATTTCCTTTTGAAGTTAGAAGGAGGGAGAGAATATAGCAGCTGGCATAACGACAGACAGTTAAAACTAAGGTAGGATCACAATATTCAAGCCACCACTTTGAAAAGAGCTTATGGCAAGGACATGTGATTTTCTCATTTTTGGTGCAGGCATTCAGCTACAGTGAGCCAGGGGCAGACAGCATGCCTTCAGCCTGTGACCAATGCAGCAGAGATGGAAACTATTTCAATTAATTTCTCAAAACCACTCAATTTAAGCATTCATATCATTTTAATTCTTCCAAAAGAAAATAGCTGTACATGTATGCAAAGCTTCATCTCATCAAATTCCTAGAAAAATACAAAGTGCTCCTTTGATAAATTATACTTAAGGACAGGCATTATTAACTGACTTGAGAAGACAGGAACAGAAGCAATGTGAATTTTCCAACCTAAAAATGTAGCAAAACTTTAAGGTAAATTATCAAAAAGTATCTTAGTATAAATGGTAGAAACTCCCCTATTAAAAATATTGTAATTTATTTGCTATGTAAATTTTGGAGCTACAGTAAGAGCCTAAAACTGTTTCTCACAATGAACTGACACTCAATTTTAAAAGAAGTTATGTATGTGTGAAAATGTTTTCCAAATTATTTCATAATCATCTTACTTTTTAAGAGCAGAGACATTTATTTGACTGAGTTTCCAAAAATGAATCACACAAAGGACTAAATTCACTAGATTTATTAGCAAATAAATATTTTAATTTTAGAGCAAAATAGCAAGGGACCAAACTTTAACTAGCTACAATCTTCAATGTATAGGACTCTCACCAACACACAGAGATTTTAAGGGACAGGTTATTTTTTAAGTGATGTACATGATATATTCTGTGGTTAATACATAGACCACTTCTTCCATAGAAATATGTACAGCATGATAATAGATAGTATAATACTATTTAATGACATAATAGTATACCCCTATAACACTGTACATATTTATATACTGTATGTATTTTTTGAGAAGCCATTTATCTTTTCACATAAGATACACTTTACTTACTATGGCATAGAAGTAAACTAACTGACGTTATTTTATTTTTTTAAATCATAAAGAGTTGATGT